AAAACTGGTGCTTACTAAGACAACATACAGTAAAACAGAATACCCTTATAATCAGCGGCATTTAGAAATTCTATCAAACACAGTGGGTTGAATCCAGATCACATTATTTGACCTTAGGTCCCCAGAGAAATCCACAGAAGTTAGCCATGACCTAGGTCCTATTGATTTAAATGGAAATTCATTGCAACTTTGCCAGGATATATCCCAAAATAAATTTGATATATGGGTATCAAATAGAGAAGCCACGGAGAACACTGTGGAGAAGTCAGTTGCTTTATTTTAATGATTGTATTGAACTTACATGAAAAGGATGAAGTGTTGTAATTCATACTGCTTACACAGCCTAAAGTGGGATATTGTGTACCCAATAAGTGGGATACTATGTACAAGATTAGTTTATATGGGTCATGGAAAGTCATAAGAGATGAAAAGATGCGACTGTTCATTCCAGCTTACTTCCTTTGGGAACTGCATGCAACTGCAATCACAACATTATGGGTCAGAATTGGAAGGAGCCACTGAGTCCAACCACCTGCTTAGTGCACAAATTCAAATTAGACCTTACCAAATGTGTATCCAAAACATCCAGGAAAGAGGAGCACTACAGTTCCCTAGGCATCTTTGCTCCTACCAACAGGAAGTTTTTCTTAGCCTCAGCTAGAATCTGCCTCCCAGTAATTTAAATATATTACAGTATACTTTGTCTCTCAAACAACAGAGAACAGGTCTTTGCTTTCTTCAGTGTGACAACCCTAAAGATATTTGAAGAGGATGATTATGATCCTACCAGCACTTTTTGTCACAAAGCATAAACATTTCCATAAGCTCTCCTTGTAAGTGTCCAGTCCTCTGATCATCCTTGAGGCATTTCTCTGAATACTTACAGGATAGATTTTACTTGAAGTGGTATCTGACCAGTGCAGACTAGAACAGAATGCAACTATTATTTTGTATGGAAACTATACCGATATTGATGCAATAGGTTTGATTTTGCCCCTTGGTACATCCAACTAGCTGCAGGCCCTGCCATTCCTTCCAAAAAGGATTTCTTACACCTCATCTGTAATTTTAGCATCCAAGAAATAGAGAACTATTTCTGAATTGTAATATTAATTCAAACTGTACATGATATTCAAGGAAATACAGAAAGTTTTAAAAATCCTTCAACCATGCAACAGATACTTTCCCTGCAGATTGGAAATAGCCTTGATTGTCCATTTAAAAACAATCCCAAACATAAATAAAAGTAGCTCATCCTGAATTTAAAATTACCTTCCCAAACTAAAAAAGGGAAGGGAATTCTTTCCATCTGCTCATCTTGTTAAGCCTGATAAATTTTATCCCTCCAGCAGAAAGTCAAAATTGAAAATAGTATGCAATTTCACAGGAATGTGTACAGTACAATAATTTAAGGGTTCCTGCATCTTGCTCCTGGATCCTCAGTTAACAGACATGGACAAAAGTGCTGTCTGCACAGCCTTGGTTCATATGTACATTTTTATGGGAAGAGCAATGAAGTCTCAAATATTAAATATTTGATTTTTAAAAAAAGGCAGGATAAAAATCTAATTATAAAAATAAATATGCAGTGTTTACAAAGTTCAGGAAAACTGTTCTTTTGGATGTGGACAATCTGTAGAGTAATAACAGAAATGGAGAAGCCACCCTATAGTTTGCATAAATGCAATTTTGAACTTTATTATTGGACTTATACCCTACCTGTCTGTTTATTCCAAAACTCAAGACAATTTACAATAAAAAGAGTATAAAATACAATTTAAATCAAAACCAAATTTAAAAGCTAACATTTACTTAGAAAACTATACAACTTGGGTCTAGAGTATCTGAATAGCCTTCCTATATAATATTATCATTATTATTAGATTTTTCTCCCACCTTTTTTAATATACATTTTGGTCAACTCAAGGCAGTGAACATACCTAATACTCCTGCCTATTTTCCCCACAACAACAACCCTGTGAGGTGGGTTGGGCTGAGAGAGAGTGACTGGCCCAAAATCACCCAGTCGGCTTTCATGCCTAAAGGAGGCCTAGAACTCAGTCTCCTGGCGTCTAGGCCAGCACCTTCACCACTACACCACTGGCTCTCAATTGAAAAAAAAAACATCTTATATGTTTTATTGTTCATATAAATATAAATATAATATAAATATTAAAATATATTTATATAAAATATTTGTAAAATACAAATATTTTACAATCTTTGTAAGACAACTGGTTTCTTTTCCTACCCCAAAAGAGTTCAGCCTGAACAGAGGACAAAGCTTTGGATCTATTCACCTACAGAAGGGACACCACCAGATCAAATTCCTTCCTTCACCTGCATCTCCCATGAATCTTCTAAATCTATTCCAGAGAGTGAAAGGAAACTCCAAATGTACTTTCACGTCACTCTCTATTTTCATAATATTGGATACAATTGCTTTTCTGCAAACACTAAAGTGGAGCGAGCTAGTTGCTTAGTTCCACTCAAACAGTAAAAGTATTTGCTCTACATTTACTAGATATTAATACAGACTATAAGCTTTAGTTTTCTCAATTGTTTTTGTTTATTCATTTCTTATTTTAGTTTTAAACATACACAATGTTTTAATATGTAATATTTGTTCTGTAGATTGCCTTGAGAGTCTGTGTTAAATGTTAAAAGACAACCTTATAAATATTTTAAAAATTATGTTAATACTGAAGAAAGCAATAGAAATCAACGAGACAGAAGCTACAGAGAGAGAACAGAACACCTAAAGTTGGCAAACGAGCAAAGGTGGGAAAAGGAAGATAAAGAGACAGACAGGGAAAATTTTATGTCTTAAAAAATCCTACTACATTATCATTTTGAGTAATTTTCTCATGCTTACAGAAGGGGAAAAAATTGTATATTCCTCACATATAATTCTCTTTCTCCACAGGACCCAGAAGACAGAGAGAAAAGGAGGAGGAATTTTTTGCCATCTAAATCAGCCAGGCTTTAAAACTACTCCCTAATAAGCCCATCATTTTAGCCAACCAGAGGCATTTACCAAGACCTTCCTGTATTTACTGCACTAAGATTAATGAAGCAGCTCAAAGAGTGAATGAAAACAGATAAACCTTTTTATGCTTTACAGCAACTGGCTGCACCAATGCACGCAGGCCTTCTTAAGGTTCCTACTTCCAGACCAGCAAAACTCCACTCCCCCCCAGCACAAAAGGCGGGGGGGGGGGATGATAAACAGGATCCATTCATCTTTACCTCACAAAGAGAATGGCCACCACTTTGTGCACAAACTGGTAAAGGACCAAAGCAAGAGTCCAGATGAAAGGAGATCTTAATAGATACCTAGAGGGTATCTAGAATTGTTACATCAAAATCTCAAAAAGGTCTCAACAAACAATAGGTTTTCAACGCATAACAACTGTTAACTGATTAGATACCTGTAATCTGTCTCGCACCTACCCCGCACCCACATAACCACCCTGTTTCCCCCTCCTGCCTCATCCCAATTTAAACCTTATATCAAGCATCTGATGAAGCTGCAGCTTTTATGTTCTTCATAAGCTTTTATGTTACCTCTGGTTGAACACTGATGTACAAACTTAGTAAATTTGACTTATCTTGGGTCTTGTAAAGACTTAAAAGTCTTTACAATTAAGAAAAAAACCCTTCCACTTGCATGAACACTTTTTAAACTGAGTATTTACCCTGCACTTTAGGGATTTGCTGAATTTCATGGGAACTAGCTAGCTAATGAGTGGAAATATTAAGCACTGTACTGAATACATCCAAAAAATCCATTATCATCACCAAACATATGATAAAGGAAATTAATATTATTACAAAACCCTTCAGTGCAATCCCAACAGGAAATTGAAATGCTAGGGATCCTACAGACACATCAAACATCCTTTTAACAAAAGGGATACTATTGCTTTTTTAAAAAAAACCTTCTTAGGATGAAGGACTGACTGCTAAGTGCCCAGAGAGGTTTAAACTCATTTCTCTTAGGAGTTCCCATCCCTCCACAAGCTGTCATCCCTAGAACTGTATGAAGAAACATCAGTAGAAAAAAAGGAGCCAACGAGATTCAGCACTTTTAGTTTCCTCCTCTCATTTTAAAACAGGAAACCGAGGCGGTGGGTGTTTCCTTCTGCCGACTCTCCTTCCAGGGAGTTCAGAAAGCTTTAACTTTCAAGGGGAAAGTATGTCAGCTCAGGAAATGAGCGGGGAAAGGCGCGCAAGTTGGGTGATGGAGAAGCCAAGGAAGCCCACTTTCTCCGCGCCCACTTTCGTTACCTCGGGGACGCGGGACCCGGCCAACTCCCGCAACCCGGGAGCGTCGCCTGCCCCGGCCCCCCCGCCGGATGGCGTCCCTTGCTGAGAGAGCCGTGTTTACACACCCGTAATTAGGGTCCGCCGCACCTCGCGCGCGCGCATCTTCCCAGGGAGGGAAGACCTTTCCGCTCCAGGCCACGTCTCACAAAGGGGAAGGACAGCCGCTTGACAGCAACGCGCGGCGGGTGTG